CTGCAGCCAGAACAACGGGGACTGCTCACAGCTGTGCCTGCCCACCTCGGAGACCACCCGCTCCTGCATGTGCACTGCAGGCTACAGCCTCAAGAGTGGGCAGCAGTCCTGTGAAGGTGTGTGCTTGTCCCTGTCCCCTCCCTGAGCCACCCCTCGGTGCAGAGAGACCCTGTGGCCACCCCAGCCATGCCTGTGGCCACCCCAGTTGGTGACCCCTTGCTCTGACTGCTTATGGGCTCCTCCCCACTGCTCTGTGTCCCTTGTCACTGTGGGGGAACACTGGGCACCAGAGGGACACCGGGGGGCTTGGAGGGTTGTGGGCTCAGGTGGCAGCAAGACCCTTGCATGGGCTGTCCCTGATGAGCGTGGGACCACCAGGGGTGTCAGGTGGAGGGGATTGGGACCCTCCCAGGGAGAGGTGGGACCCTCACTGTGGGCGGCGGGTTGGGCTCGCTGGGAGCAGGGCCAGGCACAGCCCTCACTCTGCAGATCCCCCCCATCCCCTCGGGCACTGCCAGGGCCTCTCAAAGGCTGTTTGTGTGCAAAATGTTCCGGGTGGTTTTGAGGGGGGTTTGGCAGAGCTCTGCACCATCTGGGTCAGGGCAGGGGCTGAATAACAAGTGCTGCCCTGACCCAGATGCGCTGTGGAGCCTTTGCCAACACGGGGTGGGGGTGGTGGGTGGTGGGAAGGGGGTTCCCTTGTGCCCCCCTAGAACAGGGCAGGACCTTGGAACGGGCTGTGCCAGGGGTTGCAGTCTGTGCTGGGCCTGCAGAACCCTGCCAGGCTCGTGCTCCTCCCCTGTCACAGTTTTCCACGGTGGAGGGACAGCCTGTGGGTTCTGGGATGTGTCTGACTGTGCCTGCACCTGTGCTGCAGGTGTTGGCTCCTTCCTGCTGTACTCGGTGCACGAGGGGATCCGGGGCATTCCCCTGGACCCCAATGACAAGTCGGATGCTCTCGTGCCGGTGTCTGGGACCTCCCTGGCTGTGGGAATCGACTTCCATGCAGGTGATGCAGGGCTGGGGATGGGACAGAGGGGCTGGAACAGGACAGGGGATGGGGAGCATGAAGGGGACATCACCATCACCCTTTTGGGCAGTGCTTTGCCCTGGAATGCCCCCTCGGCAGAACTGGGGCAAGGGAGGATTTCAGCGCTCCAGGGTGCAGGGTTTTACCATTCTGGAGTGACCAGAGGTGGTCACTGACTCGTCCCCTCCTGTCCCTCTCAGAGAATGACACGATTTACTGGGTGGACATGGGCCTGAGCACCATCAGTCGAGCCAAGAGGGACCAGACGTGGCGCGAGGACGTGGTGACCAACGGCATTGGCCGCGTGGAGGGCATCGCTGTGGACTGGATTGCAGGTGGGATGGGGCTCTGCAGCCAGGGCAGGGGGGGCAGTGGGGCTTCTCTGGGGGTTCACCGTCCCCTCTTGTAGGAAACATCTACTGGACGGACCAGGGCTTTGATGTCATCGAGGTGGCCAGGCTGAACGGGTCCTTCCGCTACGTGGTCATCTCGCAGGGGCTGGACAAGCCACGGGCCATCACAGTCCATCCAGAGAAGGGGTGAGATACTGCCCCAAAGAGGGGTATCACCTGTGGGGTGGGCGCAGGGTGAGACCACCCACACCTCCCGGCAGAGCTGTGTGTGTGCACACAGCAGAGGACTTGCAGGTCTCCTGCCACACCAAGGAGTCCAAACCCTGGATTTAATCCTCCTTTCACTGATGGGGTGAACTCCCTGGGACCTGGTGGGTGCCAGCACCTCAGAAAATCCAAGTGGAGCCTCTTTAGTGGCTTCAGCTTTGGACAGAACCCCAGGGAGAGCAGAGGTGTTTGGATCTGGGGAGGGATGGAAATGCAGGACATGCGATGTCTGTGGGTGGGCAGGGTCTGGACTGAAACCCCAGTGTGGGGGGATGAATGGGGTGGTGTCTGTCCTTTACTCAAAGGGCCAGTGCTGCTCCTGGTGACGAACCTGTGGTGACATCCCTGCTGTCCCCTCAGGTACCTGTTCTGGACGGAGTGGGGGCAGTACCCCCGCATCGAGCGCTCGCGCCTGGACGGCACCGAGAGGATGGTGCTGGTCAATGTCAGCATCAGCTGGCCCAACGGCATTTCCGTGGACTACGAGGTACACTTGGCATCTGGGGAGGATGGTACCAGCCCCCCAAGGTCTCTGTGGCCGTGTCCTGCTGCTGGGCACATGCTTGCCCTCCTCAGGGCTCCAGAGTCTCGGGAGGGTTGTCCAGGGTGGTCTGAACCCCAGGACATCCTGCCAGAGGTGCAGAGGGTAGTGCTGTCCCCACGCCAACTGGGATGTTGTTTCATCCCTGCAGGATGGGAAGCTGTACTGGTGTGATGCCAGGACAGACAAAATCGAGCGGATTGACCTGGAGACGGGCGAGAACAGGGAGGTTGTCCTGTCCAGCAACAACATGGACATGTTCTCCGTGTCAGTCTTCGAGGAGTACATTTACTGGAGTGATAGGTGAGGTGCCAAGGGGGCTGGGGACTGTGTGGAGGGTGGGGGGAGCTGGTGGGTGCTGTGGCAAGGTGGGGAAGGGTCCTGTGCTGGTCACTTGGTGACCCTGTCCTCCTTCAGGACTCACGCCAACGGCTCCATCAAAAGAGGAAACAAGGACAACGCCACCGAGTCGGTGTCCCTGCGGACCGGGATCGGCGTGCAGCTCAAGGACATCAAAGTCTTCAACCGGGCCCGGCAGAAGGGTAGGTCTGAGCATGGGGGGCAGCTTCTCATGTGGGGAATGGGGATGGAAGCACATGGATCACTCTGTCCCCATCGGAGCTGTGTTGCACCATGGCTTGAGCCTGTTCCTTCCTCCGGGAGTGCCGAGCGCTGAAAATGGCCAAGAGGGTTCATCCTGCCCAGTCCCTCACCCAATCCCCCCTTGTCCCCCCGCCAGGCACCAACATCTGTGCCCAGAACAACGGGGGCTGCCAGCAGCTGTGCCTGTTCCGCGGCGGCGGGCAGAGGACGTGCGCCTGCGCCCACGGGATGCTGTCGGAGGACGGCGTCAGCTGCCGGGACTACGACGGCTACCTGCTCTACTCGGAGCGCACCATCCTCAAGAGCATCCACCTCTCGGATGAGAACAACCTCAATGCACCCATCAAGCCCTTCGAGGACGCCGAGCACATGAAGAATGTCATCGCCCTGGCCTTCGATTACCGCTACGGCTCCAAGGGCAGCAACCGCATCTTCTACAGCGACATCCACTTCGGCAACATCCAGCAGATCAATGATGATGGCACGGGGCGCAAGACCATCGTGGAGAGTGAGTGGCATGGGGGTCTGCCTGCCCTCAGACCTGTCTCTCCCTCCTCCACCTCCTCCTGCACTCCCTCTGTTGTTCCCCAAGGGGTTTTGGTGGATTTGGAGGGGCAGCAGGTACAGGCTGAGCTGTGTGAGGTTTCTGAGGAGCTTCTGGGAGTGGACACAGGCACTGGGAGCAGCCTGCAGAGCTTGTTCTGGCACGGAGAGCGTGTCACGAGGCTTGGGCTCTAGAAACAGGCACTGCAGCAAAATTGGGATCAGCTCTGTGCTCACACTCACCTCCCAAGGCAGAGCCCTAAGCCCTGACCCTCAGAGTGCCCAGCCCTGGCCTCACCTCCAGGCCTCACCTTGCACTTGGTTGGTTTTATTGGCACCTGCAGCAGCTTCAAAGAACTGTGGTTGCTGCTCCAGGAGCTCCCTGAGCCAGGGCCTTGGACGTGCTGCTAATGAGGGAATTCACAGTGGTGCTCATGGTGCTTTATCCCTGAGAGGGGAGAGCACGGCCCAGCTCTCACAGCCGCCTCATTAAACCCTTTGCCAAGCATTAATGAGGGGGAGAGGATGGGTGCACCGTTCAAGTTCCCAGCTGGGAAGGGCTCCCTGGTCCCCACCAGGCTTTGCCTTGTCACTTTGTGCCCCAGGGGCTCAGCTGTCCCCTGGCAGAGGGAAACCCTCCCCTTCCCAGCGCTGCTGCTGTGGACCCAGAGCAAGGTCTGGCTGCTGTGGAGTTTGAGAACAAAATTCAAGTCCTTGGTGCATTGTAGGTGTGCATCACTCAGCCTTCCTGCAAGGGAGGGTCATTCCAACAAAGCTCTACCCACGTGGAGTCTCAGGGGTCTCTGCCTCCCCCTGAGCACAGCCCCCAGCCCTATTGAGTCCCCACCCAGCAACCAAAGCCTCTGAGGGATTTTTAGGCTGTAATTAAAAGCAAAACCTTCAACATCCCACTGTCAGTGTGAGTTCTGGCCATGCAGGATGACCCAGGGCCAGGGCTGGGTGTGACCTTTGCTGTCCCCACAGATGTGGGCTCGGTGGAGGGGCTGGCGTACCACCGCGGCTGGGACACGCTGTACTGGACCAGCTACACCACCTCCACCATCACCCGGCACACCGTGGACCAGAGCCGGCTCGGGGCCTTCGAGAGGGAGACCGTGATCACCATGTCAGGGGACGACCACCCCCGAGCCTTCGTGCTGGACGAGTGCCAGAAGTGAGTGGCCCTCGAGGGTCCAGCCAGCCCTCCCAGGGGTCCATGGGGTCCCAGTGGATGCAGCAGGGAGGAAGGTCTGGATCCAGCTCTGGACTCCCAGGGAGGAAAGACCCTGTAGCCCCCTCCCCACAAGCAGCTCCAGACCCCCTGTCCCATCCCCATCCATGGAGTGCCACATTTCCCATCTGGCTGCAGCAGCCTCATTCACCCCCTTCCCACTCATTTTACATGGGAATGTTGTCCCATGCATCCCCCAGTCCCTGGAAGCCCCTCAGCCATGGAGGGACGGGCTGAGCCAGCCTGGATGTGGCTGAGCTGGGGCTCCAAAGGCGTTGTGTGTCCCTCCCCTCCCAGCCTGATGTTCTGGACCAACTGGAATGAGCAGCACCCCAGCATCATGCGGGCCACCCTCTCCGGTGCCAACGTCCTCATCATCATCGACCAGGACATACGGACGCCCAACGGCTTGGCCATCGACCACAAGGCTGAGAAGATTTATTTCTCTGATGCCACCCTGGACAAGATCGAGCGCTGCGAATACGATGGCTCCCATCGCCATGTGAGTCTGAGGCCAGGGAGATGGGGAGGAGGGTGTCCAAACTGGGGCTGGAGTGTGGTCAGAGGGAAGCAGAGCTGTTCCTGAGGCTGGGGAGGTCAGGCACCCCCTACTCTGGTGTGTGGGGGGCTGTGGGATGCGTCCCACCGCAGGTTCCTCCTGCCCCCAGTTGGGCTGTGCCCCTGAGAAGTGAGGACATGGCTTCAGGCTGCATCAGAGGAGGTTCAGGTTGGACATGAGAAGGAATTTCTTTATGGAAAGGGTTATTAAACGTTGGAAGGGGATGTCCAGGTTCATGATGGAGTCACCATCCTTAGATGTAACTGCTGGGTGTGGCACTGAATGCTCTGGAGGGGTTTGGTCACAGATTGGACTTGATCTTGGAGATCTTTTCCAACCTCAAGTATTCTGTGAAGTATCCTAGGACAGGTTGGATGGAGCTTGGAGCAACCCTGGAAGGTGCATGCACCCATGGCAGGGATGTGGGAACGAGATGAGTTTTAAGATCCTTTCCAACCCAACCCATGCCACGATTCTGTGCCTGGCAGGTGATCCTGAAGTCGGAGCCCGTGCACCCCTTTGGCCTGGCCGTGTATGGGGATTACATCTTCTGGACGGACTGGGTGCGCCGGGCCGTGCAGCGCGCCAACAAATACGTGGGCACCGACATGAAGCTGCTGCGTGTGGACATCCCCCAGCAGCCCATGGGCATCATCGCCGTGGCCAATGACACCGACAGCTGTGAGGAGCCTCTGGTGTCCCTGCAGTGTCCCTGCCCTCTGCTCCTCAGCCTGGCAGCAGGCCTGGGGAAGGGGAACCCATCCCACTGTCCTTCATGGTCCTTTGGGAGCCCATCCCACTGTCCTTCATGGTCCTTTGGGAGTCATCCCACCATCCTTCATGGTCCTTTGGGAGCCCATCCCACTGTCCTTCCTGGCTGTTGGGAGTCCATCCCACTGTCCTTCATGGTCCTTTGGGAACCCATCCCACTGTCCTTCCTGGCTTTTGGGAGTCCATCCCACTGTCCTTCGTGGTCCTTTGGGAACCCATTCTACCATCCTTCATGGTCCTTTGAGAGTCATCCCGCCATCCTTCCTGGCTCTTCAGGAATCCATCCCACTGTCCTTCCTGGCTCTTCAGGAATCCGTCCCACTGTGCTTCCTGGCCTTTTGGGAACCCATCCCATCGTCCTTTCGTGGCTTTTTGGGAAGCCATCTCTCTGTCCATTCTGGCCCTTTGGGAATCCATCCCCCTGTCCTTCCTAGACCTTTGGGAATCCATCCCCCTGTCCTTCCTAGACCTTTGGGAATTATCCCACTGTCCTTCCCAGCTTGTTGTTGCCCCCTCATGACTCTCACACCAGAGTTGTCCATCCCCAAACCCAGTACAGGCTGAACACAGAGAGCATTTGCCCTGTCCCTGCTCTTTCCAGGGCATCTCCTTGTAAAATCTGGGGAGACCGGGTGACTCCAATCCCCTACACCCTCCACAGCCCCATGGGAAGAGATCCCAGGGGAGGGATCCCTGCTTTTTGTCCCAGCAGAGAGGAGGAGGAGGGGCTGCTGGGTCCATACCTGGTGTGACCACTGTCCCTCTGTCCTAGGTGAGCTGTCCCCGTGCCGGGTGAACAACGGTGGCTGCCAGGACCTGTGCCTGCTCACCCCCAAGGGCCACGTCAACTGCTCCTGCCGCGGGGAGCGGGTCCTGCAGGAGGATTTCACCTGCAAAGGTGAGGGGGGTGGCAGGGGCTGAGGAAAGGAAGGGGTGAGGCTGATCTCTGCCTGGCAGAGCTGACATTCCCGCGCTCTGTCCAGCTGTGAATTCCACCTGCAACGTGCACGAGGAGTTTGAGTGCGGGAACGGCGAATGCATCGACTTCAGCCGCACCTGCGACGGCGTCGTGCACTGCAAGGACAAGTCGGACGAGAAGCAGTCCTACTGCAGTAAGGTTCCTCCTCTTGCTGCCTTGCTCACCCACACACGCACCCCAGCACCCCCAGACACCCTGCCCGAGCTGCCAGCTCCACTCAGAGAGTCATGGAACAGTTTGGGTTGGAAGGGAACAAAATCTTCCCCTTCAAGGCAGCCAAATACACGAGGCAGGTACCTCCACACAGCCTTGCAAGGTCTGTCCCTCGTTAATTAGTCTTAGAACCTCTTCCAATTTGCCATTAAATCTTAAAGAGGATGGAGGCAAAAACTTAAGAGGATGGAAGGCAGGATTCACAGCACTCCAATAAATCAATCCTTTTTCCTATGTTCAAGGTCATGGAATCATGGAATGGTTTGGGTTGGGAGGGACCTTAAAGCTCATCTCATTTCACCCCCTGCCATGGGCAGGGACACCTTCCCCTAGCCCAGCCACATCCAACCTGCTCCAAGCCACATCCAACCTGGCCTTGGACATTGCTCAGGAAAGGGCACCAGGACTCCAGGGTGTCCTTCCATCCCCCAGGTGCTCACAATCTCTCCTGCCCTCCTAGAGCTGCACCCTTTAAGGTTTCCAGCCCTTCCCCAGTGTTGGGGACATGCTGGAGAGCAGGAACCCTGGAGCTGAGCCAGTGGGGTCTGCAGCACCCTCAAACACCAGCCCTCACCCCTCTGCACGAGGGAGTGGGTTCCCTGATCCTGCTCTGTGGTTTCTCCCCCTCCTGGAAGGTCCCCAAGGATCTGAGACCCTCGGGGGTGCTTGCCCTCCTTCTCCTCACCTTCTCCTCTTCCTCTTCCTCCTCTTCCTCCCTGGCAGGCAGCCGCAAGTGCAAGAAGGGCTACCTGCACTGCATGAACGGGCGCTGCGTGGCCAGTCGCTACTGGTGTGACGGCGTGGACAACTGCGGGGACAACTCGGACGAGGTGCCCTGTAACAGTGAGTGTCTGCCTGGCACCTGGCCAGCCCCTGCCAGGGCTCTGTCAGCTGCCTGGGACAGGGACAGCGGCTTCAGGAGGGAGTTACCATCCGCTTGACAGGAGCAGAGCAGAGCCAGGGCTTAACGGAGAGTCAAGGTCAAGCTTGTGCTGCTTTGTAAAGCTTACAGTGACAGCTGAGAGGAAAAACTCCTGGGCATGGGCATGCAGCACCCAGAGCTTCCCAGAGAGAGTGGTTTGACAGCCAGGAGGGGCACGGGGCATGGTGTCACTGCTCCTCATGGCTCCCATGGCTCCTAGGCACTCCCTTAGGGGGTTGCAGGATGGGTTTGCTCAGTTCCAAACTGACAGGGACAGTCAGGAGCTCCTCAGAGTCCTGTCCAGCTCTAGTTGTGCCAAGGAGAGGGGCTCAAGCTGCCAGGCAGAGTGTGAGCCAGGAAGGGATCAGGTTTGGGAGCACTCTGAGCATCTCAGAGCTGTGTGGGCAATGGGGGGGTGTGCTCCCATGGCTCCCAGGCATCCCCTTAGGGGGCTGCAGGATGGGTTTGCTGAGTTACAAACTGACAGGGACAGTCAGGAGCTCCTCAGAGTCCTGTCCAGCTCTAGTTGTGCCAAGGAGAGGGGCTCAAGCTGCCAGGCAGAGTGTGAGCCAGGAAGGGCTTTGGGTCTGGGAGCACTCTGAGCATCCCAGAGCTGTGTGGGCAGTGGGGGGGTGTGGGTGTAGCCCCCCCACCCTTCCTCATTGACTGTGGGGGCTTCCTCCCCCTGGCAGAAACCAGCTGTGCTGCCACCGAGTTCCGCTGCCGGGACGGGACCTGCATCGGGAATTCCAGCCGCTGCAACCAGTTCATCGACTGCGAGGATGCATCTGATGAAATGAACTGCAGTGAGTGCCCAGCTGCTGCCCCTGGCCTCTCCTCAGCTCTGGGGATGCTCCTGCTCTCGGTGCTGGCAGCAGGCACCGGGGGCTTTGGGGTTTGGGCTGGATTCGGAGGGAGGAGGGTCCTGCTGCTGTCCTGGGATGGGGCAGCCCCAGCCCACCCCTTCAGCCCCTCTGTGCCGTGCTCAGCACCCCAACACCTGGTGGATCCCTGCATCTCTGGGCACGTGTGGGGCACACCTGGGGGTGTGTGGGGTGTGGTGGGCTCCGGCAGCAGGGCAGGGGTCAGTGCCACGTGGTGGAGCCAGACCAGGGGGCTTCTGCCGTGGTTCCTGCTGTGTCACTGGAGCTCCTGCTGTGATTCCTCTCAGCTGCCACCGACTGCAGCAGCTACTTCAAGCTGGGGGTGAAGGGCACCACGTTCCAGAAGTGTGAGCACACGTCCCTGTGCTACGCGCCCAGCTGGGTGTGCGACGGCGCCAACGACTGCGGCGATTACTCGGACGAGCGCAACTGCCCCGGTGAGAGCAGCAGGGCAGAGGGGGCTCTGGGGGCAGGGATGCCATTTTGGGGTCTGCTTGGGCTGTGGAGGCTTCGTTGTCCTCTGCCCGTGTGGCTCCTGCGCAGATGGTGCTGCAGGGAGCTGGGGTGTGGGACCTCAGGGGGATTTTGGGGAGGAATGCTTCAGTTCTGGGCTGGGAGAAGGCTGTGCTGTCGTCCTCACTGATGTTTCCTTCACAAAGTAGGTGGGAGGAAGCCCAAATGTCCATCCAACTACTTCGCCTGCCCGAGTGGGAGGTGCATCCCCATGACCTGGACCTGTGACAAGGAGGATGACTGCGAGAACGGCGAAGATGAGACCCAGTGCAGTGAGCGGCAGGGTGGGGACAGTCAGGATTTGGGCTGGGGCACGGGGTGGTGCTGGAGGGTGGGCAGGACCTCTTCTCTCCCTGACATCCATTTGCCATGGCCAGACCCCAGATTCTTCCCTCTCTGTGGTTTTACTCCACATTCCTGGCTTTTAGCTGTGACCAGTATAAACCAGTCCTCGTGTGCTGGTTTGCTCAGCACATGCACAAATGTCTGTGGTGCTTTTGAACGGGACCAGTTACGGCTCCCTTCAGCTGCATTTTTAGCTCTAACCTCCTGGAACAAGCCCCAAACAGTGCTCAGGAGCTGGGGATCTTCCTCAGGTCCAGCAGTGAGTCCCACACCAGCCCTGTGGGACCACAAGCAGTACCCCCAACACCCCCTGGGCTCCTGGAGCCCGGCTGGCCAGCCTGGCCATGCTCTGCTGGTTTCTCCTCTCCTTATCACCTCCCTCTGACCCCCATCTCCTCCTCTTCTCCTCTCCCAGACAAGTTCTGCTACCCTGTGCAGTTCGAGTGCAACAACCACCGCTGCATCTCCAAGCTCTGGGTGTGTGATGGGGCTGACGACTGCGGGGATGGCTCTGACGAGGACAGTCGCTGCCGTGAGTCTGCTCCATCCCTTCTCCCCATCTCCATCCCTTCTCCCCATCTCCATCCCTTCTCCCCATCTCCATCCCTGCCTGCTCCATCACCACCTTCCTGCATCCCTGCACCCATCCTTTCTCCCACCCGTGATCTCGCTGTTCTCCTGAGCATCTTGAGGCTCTAACAGTTGGGTGACCAGACTCCATCCTGCTCCTCCCTTCCCCAGGGCTGACCACCTGCAGCTCGGGATCCTTCCAGTGCCCGGGCACCTACGTGTGCGTGCCGGAGCGCTGGCTCTGTGACGGGGACAAGGACTGCGCCGACGGGGCCGATGAGACCCTCGCTGCCGGCTGCTGTGAGTGCCCTGGGCTGGGGCTGGGGGAGGCAGGGGGCTGGCAGGGGCTGACGGTGGTGGTGACCCTTTGCAGTGTACAACAACACCTGTGACGAGCGGGAGTTCATGTGTGGGAACCGGCAGTGCATCCCCAAGCACTTCGTCTGCGACCACGACGACGACTGCGGTGATGGCTCCGACGAGTCCCCGGAATGTGGTGGGTGTCTGTGGGACCCAGGGTGGGGACTGACCCAGCTGGGTCCTCATGGGCTTTGGGACAGTACCCTGGGAGGGTCTTCATCACCCCAGAGGGGTTTGGTGTGAGTGTGGTGAGAGGGAACCTGGAGAGGCAGCAGAAGGGGGTTGTTAGTGGAGAACAGCACCCCAGCCTTGACACAGAGATCCAAACCCACGGAGAGTTCCAGACCCACAGAGAGATCCAAACCCACAGAAAGATCCAAACCCACAGAGTTCCAAACCCACAGAGAGAGCCTAACCCACACAGAAACCCAAACCCACAGAGAGATCCAAACCCACAGAGATCCAAACCCACAGAGAGAGCCTAACCCACACAGAAACCCAAACCCACAGAGAGATCCAAACCCACAGAAAGATCCAAACCCACAGAGAGTTCCAAACCCACAGAGAGACCCAAACCCACAGAAAGATCCAAACCCACAGAGAGTTCCAAACCCACAGAGAGATCCAAACCCACACAGAAACCCAAACCCACAGAGAGTTCTGTGTGTGTTCAGAGCAGCCCTGTCCCAGGCCAGCTGCTCTGTGGTGCCCCTGTCACTCCCAGCAGCTTGGGAAGGTTTGGCTCCATGGTGCCTCTCCCTCTCTCGGAGTGGCCCCACGGTGCCTCTGGAAGGCTCAGGAGGGTGGGATGCTGGCTGACCCCCTCATCCTCCCTCAGAATACCCCACCTGTGGCCCCCACGAGTTCCGCTGTCAGAACGGCCGCTGCCTCAGCAACCGGCAGTGGGAATGTGACGGGGAGTTCGACTGCCACGACCACTCTGACGAGGCGCCCAAGAACCCACGCTGCAGCAGCCCAGGTACCTGCTGGGGTCACGCTGGGGTCCTGGGGGGGGATAGCAGAACCCCAGCCACCCCCCGCTGACCGCTGCCACCTCCCCTCTGCAGAAAACAAGTGCAACGACTCCTTCTTCCT